GCGAGCGAGCGCGAATTCTTCCGAGACAAAGAGACGAAATTAAAGGGGTATGCGGCCTTTTGAAAAACATCAATAGCAATTTACTTGCGTCATTTTTCCCGCGATGCAACAATGCAGTAATTAAGGAAATATTGTAAATTGGAATCTGATTTTTTTCACAGCTTTCTTTCATGTTGAAAAATAAAAATTCTGGGAAAAAATATTATTAATGAATACAAATAATTAAAAAAAAAAAAATTAGCAGAAGTTTTAATTAAATTGCCATTGACATACGTTATGTTGTTCCTCATTATTTTTTTTTTTTTACTATTTTTAAAGAATAGGTACATATTACACTAATATGTGGTTACTTTCGTATTTGTTTTATACATTTAGCAAGCTTAAGTCTTCTTTAAAAATAGATATCTAATAGTGCTTCAATACATATGAAATAGGATCGTTTTGTCGCGCACTATAGGAAATATCACGGACCATTCTCGTTTCTCTCAACCGCAAACAAGGTCGCTGCAGCACTCCCGACACTCGGATCACGAAAAGCCCCATCTTCGGCGAATGTCGAGTATCATTTACGGTCGAAAGCTTTTCTGGGATTTCAATATCGTAGTGGAGAAAAGTAACGAAGAAAAGATGGAATTGAGTTGCCCGAATGAATATCAAGCTATATAGATCCCTTTGCCCCGGAAATCGATCTTACACTTTGATTATCATCCATTCCTGAATTTAAAATCCTTCTGCGTGGCTAATACTTTCAATAAACAGCAACTACCAATTTGGTTTTTTAATGCTCAAGAAATTACAAATTTTATGTGCAGAGAAAAAGCATGTTATGACAAAATATATACATATATCTTGTGTGTGCACGAGACAGAATCTTAACGGAGAAAGAATATAGAAACAAATATTACTTTCTTGCCATCCTCAATTACAACACAATTACAAAGTTTTATATCGCTAATTAGAGGAGTCGTACGCAAATTAGGATAGTCTCCGCGCCGAGCGTTCTGCTTTTAACGATCCGAAGTCCAGGTAGTCTTCTTCGAAACGTCATAATTTACCGCACGACTCGGCTTCTTATTATCTCTCGAGTCTGTTTAAGCACGGACGTGAGAGCCGGAAAGACTTTTTATCTCTGCCGTTCTCCATTTCGCAATAAGTACATACAACTTAATCGCACGTCTCCCCGTAACGCGAAAACTATCTGACCGGATAAAGCGCGAGCGGAGATGACAGCAGAGCGGATGTGGCCGGCAGCAGCGATGAGAGAGAACGCTCGACGTCACGTGGACCCACGGAAAAACAAGGGAAGCGTCTATCTATTAGGTCACGCTCGCGTTGTTTCGAACGAACTCGGAAAGAATCCGGGTAACCCGGTAAAACGATATCCGTAAGCCTGGAAACTCTCCGAGGCACGCGCATTATTCAGAACAGTCACTTGAGGGAGAGAAAGCAGCCAGAGAGGAGCGGCTTTTCTATGCGTCGGACCGCTAAATGAATTTTTTATAACAACCCAGCTGTATGAAATCTCCCGCGAAAAACAATTCCGCGCTGTGAGAATTTAAATGGATGCTCTGGGGGAATTTAGATAATGCAGTTTAATTTATTCTCTTTCTCTCTCGGTACAAAGTTGCTGTTAAAATCTACGGCTATTGTCTAAGTTTTCAACATGGTTCGCGCATGGATAATTTTATAAATATATCAAACAAAATTTTCATTGTGTGTGTACGCGCATATTGAGGATATATATATAGGTATATCTACTTTCTCTCTCTTTCTTCATATTTTCGCAATATTATATGCGCAAGTCTTCTATAAATTACATAATACATTGCCTACGAAGAAATAACTCGCTCGCTGAACAAGTTACGAACGCGAATAAAGAATTGTAAATTGCGAGTTGTATCCTTGTGATCCCTTAATCCGAACTTTACTCTCTCTCCTTTTATCGTCGCTCTATCCACCTACTTTTTTTGCCCTCCTCTTTTTCGAATTTATAAAGTTACACATGTCTCGAGAAAATTGACAAAAAAATCGCGAAAATCGTCCAACCGAGGACTTTTTAATAAAACCAACCGGAAAAAACACCGGACCTAATTTTTAAGTAGAAATAACTGGACGTATATATACGCGGCGCGCAGCGGAAAAGGTAAACTTCGCATAATAGAAAAGGGGAATCGCGCCCCCGAGTCCGACGATATCCGGTCGGTGACAATCAAAGCCCCCGGTCTCCTTCGACCGGTCGCCGTCGCGACGTCGTCGACGGATCTCTCAAACCCCTCGGCAAACATTTGAACGCGAGATGGCACGATGTCCTCGCATCCCACCCCTATATATGTCCCACCCTCTCTCCTCGTCCCGTTTCCGCGTACGCAATATCGCGTTGACGTTTCCCGTCGTGCCAATAGTTTGCCGCGATGTCACGACAGCATCCGCGATGTCTTCCGGATGATTTAAGTCTCGTTAAGCTACCCGCGTAATCACGTTAACTCCCGAGTATTAGTATCGTCGCGCAACTTTGTCGTGAAACAAAAAATCGCCACCCGAGTAGGTATATTATTGATGCGAGCTAAGAATGATTAATTTTTTTTCGACAAGAATATATACGATACAATTTTTCCGATAATATTTTTCCTGCTACGGATGCACTTTTTTCATCCGCGAGATCTCTATATTGACGCTAAACAATTTTTTCCCTTATTTTGCGGAAACGCAATCGCAATTAATCCGCCCTGATACGCGCGAGAAACCTGTTATCCCGATAAACATTATCACTCTGCAAGTTTGTCGTACAAGGGAATCTCTCGAGACACGCACACATGATATAGGTACATCCTCGAGTTTAAAGTTTTAATTCGCGAGAATATCAGATACGAAGCTTCCTTTCCATCTACGTTCAATTATAGAATTTAAATCTTTATATCGTAATAACAGATTGTTTCGTAATATTATCTTTTTAAGCATATACTTTATTACATTTACTTCTCTATTCTTTGGTAAACATACAGCGAGAAATGCAGCGTACAACGCATCTTTTTGCATCCTCTCGCGATGCCCATTGAAACTGTAATTGTAATCTGCGTACATTGTTTAGGATGCGGAATGAACACAAATCGAGGGTGATTGGAAAGCAATTCAGATAATTGCATAGACAGATAACGCAATTACGCATAGCCAAAGTTTATACATGTTTATATATATATATAAATAGCGAAAGATAAAAAGCTTTCAAAGCGCGAAAATGTATATACTTTGAAAACAAAAATGTGTTGAAAAATATTTTTTTACGCTTTTCTTGAAGTTACGTCAAAAACTGCGTGAAACCAATACTTGCACGCCATATATAGTTTACGTTTTACACTGTGGCGAAAGTAAAGTTACGATCATAATGTTTTGTGAAACGCAGTGTTTTACCTCGCTTTTCCACAATTTTAGTTGGAAGAGAATTATTAAAACTCCTGTATATCACACATCGCAAAGTTATCCCACAAGAGAAATATTATTCTAAAGTTACGGTGGTAACAACATTAATTATTATTGCTGTCCCCAGAACCACGAATTTCAGATATTTTTGTATCGTTAATAAACGCGCGGGTATCGCGAATAATTTTTGCCGCGTACTTGTATAATAAACAATAGCGCGATGGTATAATGTAACCTCCTAATTGCCAATTTACTATAGCAGTTAGATTAACGTATGCAACATATTCTAATTTATTCCCGATGTAATCGCGATTCCTGATTTTTTACGATAACGAAAGAGAAAAAAAGAATAAAAGAAATAATAGGCTTTGGCTTTAGAATCTTTGTACTTACGCGTTATTATTGATCCGGAACTACTTACATTCTTACAAAGGGAATACGATTATACATGTAAATGCGCAGTGACATATTGCCTCAATAGCCGTGATTACGATTCTCGTAATCACCTTTTCTCCTCCGTTGCATTTCAATCGCTCGCACACGCGATACACCAGAGAAATCCTTCGATTTCCAATTTGCAAAGCTATGCCCACGCTAATCGACTTCTCTCTCTGGCGCGTCCGCTTCCACACCGGTCCAATAATAATCGAAGATCGTGGGCGAAGATCGAAAGTACAAATGGCGCAACACCTCGTTATCCCATCCAGTCCTTCTTTTCTTCCTGCGTTTAATATTCGCGATACACTTTAATCGTTCATCAGCCGCCAGAAACTGATCGCTCCGATAAAACGAGCAGGGACGGATGGCGTCTCGTCAAAATCTGAAGCTAATTAACTTTTAAAATTCTTTAGCGAGAAGATATATATATAAAAAGAAACAATTCTCTCTCTCTCTCTCTCTCCAACATATCTAATAGACTATTTAAAAGAAGTCGACGATTCTATTTCTAAAAACATGTATTAATTAAAGTTAATCGAGAGTTCTCGCCTCTTCCTAGATTACATAGAAAAGAAGAAATTACTATTGGAGAAAGAAACTACAGAGATAGAAGTGCGGAAATCGTTTAAACTCGAGTTTATTCTATCTAATGTTGTTTTATCTAATGTTCAATCAGGAAGAATCTTAAGCGATTGTTATTGCGCGGGCTTTCTTCGAAAGTAACGAAACTCGAGTTTCCGACACAGATCCGCCCCTGGCTGGTGGAGATGGCAGGAAGAAGAGGTGTGAGAACCCGAAGTAGAGTTGGACCAGCGGCGGCGCGACGAGAAAGGGAGAGCGAGTCTTCTTTCTCGACGAGATCCGCTGCAGCATCAGTGGAATAGTGGGTGCTATGATCGTCGAGGACCGGCTGTTCCCGTCCCCTCCATCCCTCTGTTCCCTTCGCCCCAACATCGGCCTTGTCTCAACCAGACCTCTCTTCCACCCTTGCTCCAAAATGCCTCTTACGCAAACCTTCCCGCTACCCAAGGATCTCCCTCCATTCGCTTACCTTCTCCCACCAACTTCGCATCCACCATCCTCCGCTGTGTTGGGCTGTCGGGAGTCATCGGCTGGCGTTCAGTCCTCAGTTTGTGACCGACCGCGCAAGCGTGCGGTTCTACCTCGTGAATTACGGGAACGGTCTCATGCTTTCATTGATGATCCGCATTGGTGACCGTGTCGCGAATGGATCTACGCAGATCGGTGCCGATTACAATACCCCTCGGTAAGGATCGAGTGAAAACACAAGTGTGATTCTTTTCAATGTCCAAAATTGCCCGAATTACTCTCGGGCGTGTGCCAAGTGTGACAGATCAGCGTGAAGGAAATTGTCGAGGATCGCGTGAACCCCCGATCGCGTGTATATCAAGCGTCGCGGGGTCAGCTGAAATTTTCCCGGAATACATTTTCGTAATCCGCGCCCTCTCTCCGTCGCTGTGACACCGTCTGCACGACAGGACGTCGATCGGGCCTCTCTCCTTCGGCGAAGTGACGTGACTCGCGGTACTTCCGGTTCCGAGCAAGCGAGCTTTTCCCGGATATCGTCGGATGGGAAAGGGAATTTCCGTTAACGGTGTTCCCTTATATCGATCGATCGAAACGTGCGACTCCTACGGCGAAGCGAATCGCCGACCCTCGTCGTCCGCGGAAGATATACACGCTCCGAAAATTTTCGGAGCAACCCGACTAGTCCCACGCTGTGTGCCCCGCATTCAATTGGTCACGGACCGTCACGAGATCGAGCGGGTTATTATTAATCTTCGTCATGACGAGAGAGAGAGAAAGTGCCGCCCCGCACTCGCAGTTATATTTCGCATGACGAAATAATGAGTTAATGAGTTCAAGTATTGCGCATTAGACGCGCAATTTTGACAGAGTCTGCTCCGATTTATTATCTCTCCTTCTCTCCTTAATCTCATCCCTTTCTCACGCCTTCGATTTACACACATGTGATGCGACTGATTCGAACGCGTCGACGTTCGTTTCAAAGGTGCGGAAAAGTGTATGTGAGATTTTTGCGTGCGCCGCACAAAGTGCATATAGTGACGAACGCAGGATACCGAAAAACGAGGAATACCCGGAGTTGTAGCCCTTATAGGCTGGGATAGTCGCGCGACTCCAAGAACAACAAGCGTATTTTTTCCACCCTCTTCTCGGTTGCCTCTTGGCAAAGTACAGTGGGACAGGTGCCGACGAGAGACAGAGGGTTTCTTCCCGCCGAGGGTTTCCACCGCGCTTCTTCTTTTCTCCTCGTATATATTTCAACGCGTGAAGTTTAATTCGGGAATATACGTGGGGTTTCGCACGCTTTGTCGTAACGCGGTCGGTCGCGCGCCATCCATCGACGTCGCGGGTTTCCCCTTTGAAGTCCAAACCGGAAGGATCGTTTATACGAAGCGACGAATACGCTCGTGTGTTTCGTCGTCTCGGGTGATTCGAGACCAGACGACGACGACGACGACGACGACGTCGACGACGTACACGTGTGATCGTTTATCCCGAACACCCTCGTCCACGCCGCGCGTGGATCCACGAAATCACCGAGTCTCCCAACGTCTCTCCTTCGTCGTCTCCTTCGTCGCTGTCGATGACAAAGGGAGGCGAACGTTCTCTCCTCGATGTGCGACCCTACCGCGTTGCTGGATCTAGTGCCTGGCGAGGGATTACTCAAGAGGCCGTCCATGGATTATAACGAGTACACGTACTGCTACGGCGGTGGTCGAGGTGGGTGGCATTTCTTACCCCCGGTGTTCCTCTCCTCCCCCTTTGCCCCTCTCCCGGGTGCCCCGACCACCGGGAATCGCTCGAGCTCTCTCGCGCTCGAGACCGCGGAACAAACGAGATTTTCTATCGTTCGCGTCTCGATGGATTCTTTTATACAGCTTTTAGAATCGGCCCGTGGACTGATAAATTAGGTCCGCAGATCCGGAGCAAATTGCCGGAAAAAATGTCGATCGATCGACTTGTATACTATTATAGTTGTAACTAACAATTAATTAATTTAATTAATTGCCTAAATTGTATAATTATATTATGTGAATGACGATTATCATCATTAAATCAATTTTTTGACATTTAGATAATGTTACGTTTGCCATTATATTTCATATACGTTGTACAGACATTTATATATATTCGATTCGTACCATCTATGTATCTATATGTCTGACAGGCTATTATTTAGCAAATTATATAGGAAATTATTGAAATTATGATGAATTTATGATTTATTGATAATTTAATAATGCATTGTGTTATATTTGATGAGAAATATTATCTAATATTTCCGATATTGCAGCAATTACAAGTGCTTATATAAATTTCGAATCTGTGGTTTACCTCTCGTGCTGAGCTTTGCGAAATCACGAATGATCCTGACGCGTGCAACGACGATATCGCTTCTGTGTTCTATGCGAAATTTAAAAATGAAAGGCAGCTCTCTCCCATGAATATAAGAGAGAATATAGCCAATCAATCAAAGGGAATCGGAGTGTAGTTAAATATTTAACAATGCAAAATGGAGTGGCGTTGATAGAGTGCTATTCCGGATAACTCGGCTTCTCTACAGAAAAACACAGTGACTAATGTTTTTATTAAAATTGACGTTTATTTATTTTCATTTGCGCGACGTCGTTCCACACTATTTCAAATTACCGAGCTTTGTTTCGTTGAATACTGATTTGAAGGAGATACGTAATCACACGCTGCGTGCGTGTATATATGTGCGTGTTATCTCTATGAAGATATAAATATTTCTGTTTCAAAAAATGTTATTTGCAGTGATTTTCTCCGCAAGTTAAATCGTACTTAAATGGCGAATAATGCCTCAATTACCGGGGAATAATAATTAAGAATCCACCTGGCCACGCGATCAACAACTCACGACGAAGCTTCTATTTTCGGCGCGAATCGATTGTCCCGAGGCAACGCTTCCCCGCGGTGAATGGAAAAAAGCAGCAAGACGAAAACATCCTCGTGGAGCAAGGGGTGTCACGCGATTGCATTATCACGCGGGCCCTATTTGTCAAGTCGACGTATCCAAGGCGTGACTCGGAGAAACTTTTTCGCATGTAAAACTACTTGATAGTGTATGTAAATGAAATTTTCCATTATATATGCACTTTTTAACTATTCGATGATGAAAATCGCGAGTTGAGTGAAGAAAAAACGAGAAAACGAGTAGACAGAACACCGCTACCTACCTACCACTAGCTATAGTATCGTTAGCATAGTATCGTTAGCTACCTTACGAATTGCTTGTCATCGTTACATATTTACGATGTAAAAAATGTAATGATAAGATGTAAAAAAATGATCTATGAGAAATTCGCAAAAGATTATTAATAATAATTCTCAATTTTATCCATTTCGAATATTAATGCACGAGTTAAAAATAATTGTTATTTTTTTCTTAAAAATTATAATGGAAAAAATTATTTTCGAGCATTGAAATATTTGTGCACGCTCTCAATTAATTAATTAAGTGACTGTCTTGTGCAACATAATTTAATTGATATGAAAGCAAGTGAGCAAGCTCCTTTTACTTTATTCAAATCTTCCTAGTCACATATCTCTTTCTTTCTTCTCTCGCATCTTTCTAACATAATATCTTACGACGTGGGAAAATTCTAGATAACATCCGTTGTCGAAAACAGAAACTTGTTTCATTTTGCCGAGGCACGCTGCAGTCGTCAAGCGAAATTCCGTTTTAAACTCTATTACGCAAGCACGACATTTCCATTAAGGTTTTCCGACAAAGTGAACGGAAAAACGAGCATAATTATCGTTGCTGAAAAACGTGGCGTTGCACCGTGACATTGCTTCTTGCTACCGTTCTGTCACTCGATACGTCGAATTTCTCCATACGCGAAATAATTAATACTCCGAATTCTCAAATCAGAGTGTCTCTTTCAAAGTAACTGTTGTGATATTGTTTTCGTGGCTGCTGTAAATAATCAATGTGTCAAGTCATCATTTATTCATTTTTAAATCACTAACGCGAATTAATTAATTATTACACAATTACCTGTCAATACATAAATGTTCTGCTCTTAATAACGTTTCGTGCAAGAATAACTGTTGATTTTTCAGAGAAACTTAAAAGCTAATAATTAGTGTGATGTAAGCAAAATAAAATTTTAAAAAACATTTTTTAAATTAATTTAAGCGCTATAAGAATTGAAAATAATGCTTCTCGGAGCAGAAATTATTATGCCAACAAGAGATAGATACCATTAACTTTTACGCACATCTGCTCCAGTAAGTAAAAGCGCGATTGATTGACAGTGGCGAATCGGCCAGACTCTCGGTATCTCTATTCTTCACGATGGAAAGCTGCCATTTCGCGAGAATCCGGTACAGACTCGTTTCGACTTGGCGATAACGTTCGAGCCGCGATAAAACCTTCATCCCCGGCGCGAATCGATCGCCCGCGGGCGCAACACTTTCACCATGAGAGCAAAGGGGGCAAAGGCGAGGCGCGAAAAGAAGGGGATGGTGGTTGGGTTACTCGGGGAAGAAAGCCGCGGAAGAACGACAACGCGCGAAAGACATACGAGGGAAAAGGGGTCGGGCGAGAGAGCGAGGGAGCGGTTGCATTACCACCACGCGGGAGCCGTATTTATCACTCTGACATTTCCAAATGTCACGCGGTTTATCAGGTGTTCCCCCGGTGGAAACCTTAAGGTACCTTTGCACGAACCGCCGGCGCGACCGTGAGAGGGTACGAGAGCGCATGCATTGCATCGGCGACATCATTAAATTTACATAATAAGACGTTGCATGGTGGTCGAACAGCGCGTCGTCCTCGTCGTCCTCGTCTTCGTCGTCATCATCGTTGTATGACAATCGTTGTCAAAGCTGCTGGTACTCGCGGCGCGCAGCTGCTGCGATTCGCTGATAATTGAATAAAACGGGCTTAGTTAGCGCCTCTCTAGCTGGATATAAGTAGCGCGAGATGATGAGTATCAGTAAAAATGTCGAATCCCGAGCGTCCAGCAGTGTTGCAAATTTATCTGATCTCTCTCGAGGCTGATCGATTCCGCCAGGTGCAAATGTGACGTCGAGGTCGTCGAGATTTTTCTTCCGCGCTATTTTTAACCTTCACTTATCGAACACTCGTGGAAAATTGTTAAAATTCATCTCTGATAATATATTCTCTTCTCGATGAAATGTGGAGGAATGGATTCTCTCTATTATCATATGCAACTTTGATAAAAATAGTGTAATTTCTGGGAAAAAAGATTGCCGTGATTTCTGTCAGATTAGCAAAGCCGAAAAGTAGATTTTGTAGATAGTTTGTAAGAAGTAAAACTAGGACATGATTATCGTACATCTTTTGTTCGAAGGAAAATTAATCTTTCTTCTTTACGAGCGTTCGGATAGATAAGACATTCGTGATAACGAAGAAAGTAATCTTTCTCGAGTTCTTGAGAAGCTTTGAATTCATATCAAGATGTATTTTCGTGGCTAAAGACATTAAAGTAATTGACCGCGCGCTTCTTTTTTCACCACTTTAATTTCGAATGCTAATTTCTGCGCAAAACTGTGCCACGCGGTACCGGTTGAAGCGCAATTTTTTCCTCGGGGCCGAGCAAAAATTTACGAGACGATTTTCGAGAGCGAATAATGTCGCAACGACATCGTAAAGAGAAGCCATCACTATCCTTTAAATCAATATACCTATTAAATTTTTACAAATATCTTTATTTTAACATATCTTCTTTTAACATGAGCAGATGTTCAACCAATTGAATCTCCATATATTTTTATTGGATAAACATTATATCTTTTTTTTGTATATTTTCTTTCGTCATTTTTTAAAATAAAAACTTGAGAGATTTATCAATTTTTAATACTAATTAATTACACATAATTGTGAATTAATTGACTTCGAGAAAGCGACCCTCGAGTATCTTAAATCCATGACGGTTGCCATATCCGCGTCGCAACGTGACCGATTCGCACCCCTGCTCGCGCGACGCACATTAAAGTTATTCACTTTAACTATTTTCAAGTTTCGGGACGCGACTGCCGAGTTTCCCCTCCACCCCCGAGTGTACCAGTCAGCGCTGCATTCCTGAATGCACCGTAACGATCCTTCGGAACGTCGGCCAGGGGCGCGCCTCCTACCCCTTCGTATTCCGCTTCCGGTTTCCGGCGCACCGGCGCGGCGCGTGGATTTCGCGATGTATTCCGCTGTCGCAAACTTTTGTTATACGTCGACGAAAATAAGACGAGCCTAAATTCACGATCGTCGATTTCGAGCAGAATTTTAATCAAATCGAACGATATTAGCGGAAATATATTTTTTTTGTTGAGTTTTTTTTTTTCGAATTACATCTTTTAGTTATATGATTTATTGCTTTTATGTTATTTTTCCAGTTTTGAGAATAAACTTGTGTATGTGTCATTCTGAAAATAATGGAGTTATTTTGTAGTGAATAAACGTAACTAAATTTAAATTGCACATATATTTTCAGAGACTGATGCTTCTTCACGATTTTTAGAATAACTCCCTGAATGACGTTTTAAAGCTGGATCTATATGCGTACATAGATTGATAGTAGCAAAAACCGAGTAAACTTTTAACGAATTAAATTAACATTAACCCGAAAAATTTTGATTTTCATATAACTGCATTTTATACAATTACGTGTTGAAGTCCATTCGTTGTAGGTGATTTATAATTTATAACGCAATTTTAAATAGAATTCTATAATTTT